GTAATTGTTCCAGGTGAACAATGAGTGTACTCTGAAAAAACCAGATTGGGCCCCCGTCACCCTCGCGATCTCCTTCTCTCAGTAAGATCTACGCCTTACGCTGTGCTCCCTTCCACTTGTGACACCAACGGCTCGCAAAGGTGGCACGTATGCACAAACATGGGCTGCCCTTCCCGGTTACAAGGCTTCTGTCAACCAAAGGGTGAGAGCGTAGCTGGAAAAGCACACACTTTGTGTCTTATTGGGACTAAGCCTTTTGAAGAAGATAAAGAAAGAGGAGATGCTGTGATAGTGTGCACTTGTGAGAGCTCCCAGACATCACTACAAAACGCTGAACCGCCAAGGCTCACGGTTGACAGATGTCCTGAGACCTTCAAAAAGCGAGAAAGTGTCGGGTGCAGACCAAACACCACAACTGACGACGGCCTCCAAGTAAATCTGGTTAGAAGTTGTTCATAGTGATAGCTGATTTCTGGTAAATGATAGTTGTAATTAGTGACAATGATAGAATACAACTGCAACAGGCTAATCATTTCATTGGCAGAAAACATTAACATTTTGTGAAGGCCGTCGTCACTTGTGGTGCATGGTCTGCACCCGACACTTTCTCGCTTTTTGAAAGGGAGGGTAAATGGCTGGAGAGCTGCCAAAATCGCATCGAGGCCGATGTAGTGTTGCAGCCCGTTTCGTAATCGGCTTCCTGCTGATGAATAGTCGCTGTTTTTGAAAATAGTAGTGAAGCCCACTTGAAAAGCTGTTTTCGTTTCGCACTACTATGCTTCAATTTGGCGAAGAAAGTAGCGCACGCCAGGTGGCGGGCTCATGTTAGAAAGCTTAAGAAGATGTTATGAAGCCCAAAGACTACTTAAGCTATCTGCAGCTCTTCTCGTCAAAAATCGCAGGATTTCCCGATTTGCAGGATCTGAACGCAGCTGCACAGTGTCCGTAATCGCCAATGTGACGATAGAGACTGCGAAGGAATTGCTTAATCGCATAATCTCCAGCAACTAGCTATCAAAACAGATGGCAAAACTCCTCTGGTATTTTATGGTATACGGGGGTCAAAGCGGATTGAAATAGCAAAAAAAACTTACTTTTCGTTCCATTCACGATCGGCACGGTGGAACGCTACAAGACGTCCTTTGGGATCGATCGCTAGACCAGAAACCTCTCCCAGAGGCTTGGACACCGGCAGAATGAACGCCTAAAACCATGTCATTCAGTAGTAAAGCAATCCACTAATGGGTGTTCTAATGGACTGAATCATTCTGATAAACCAACTAGGATTTTGCTGTAGGAGTGAGAAGAAAAAAGGGTGTTTTGACCTAATGTTCTGGCGCATATAAAAGACACACTGGACGGCCTGTATCGAACAGCCTAAGACAGCTGGTGAGCTGATCGAGAATCGCCGAAAAATCCATCAGAAAATCAAAAATTTGTCTTAAAATTTTTACAGCGTGTCATGAATTCCAAAGCTTTTTTTGATAATACATTGAAATGACTTTTGTTTTGCTCTCTTGCAAAGGAGGAAAAAACCTTAGGAATGATATTCAAAGGGGCTCTTCTAATCAAACAGGAGTCCTCAATCGCTTGGGCTAACCCCAGGATGTTTTTCTGAAAAGTCGGCCGTTTAGCATTCCAACTCCCATGGACATTTTTTCTTGGTTAGCTCACAAGTAGTAAGAAAACGCTCGGAATTGCCTGAACTAGAACCGAGAGCTTGCTGGCTGAAACCTCCACTTCCGAATATTGGGTGATCAAGGCTGAAACTTCAGCATCTGTCTACTTAGTAATGTCTTTAATATACCTCTACAACACTTTCCCAAGGCTACCCATGTTTCTGGCCGTGGGATCCCCAAAAGACCTCATATAAAACATCGCCAGGATAGAGTGTGATAGCAATATACCTAGGCTATCTGTAAGAACGCCCAGCTGAAGATGAAGCGCATGTGAAGGTGAAAACCACCCAATCACTTTATGGGTAGTATTTTCCTCTACGTTTGAAGCCCATGTAGAGATCTCCTTGAGATATCCCACAAAGATAGATATCCAGAAGTCACCTATAACAGTAGAATCACTTTCTGTAGCGCGCTTTGAGGCCAAAGTTCGCGCCACATAGTCGCTCGTTCTTTCAAGTGCCCTTTTGAGCTGACTTCAGACCGGATTCGGAGTGCGCGTCTGCGAGCGCACTACGGCGTGGTCCTTGGCCAGAGCCAGCTCTTAATTTGGTGCCTTTCCGTCGAGCAAAATGAGCCCGATGAGACATGCATTCCGGCCAATCTGTGTGATTGTAATCGCAGTGATCTTTGGAAGATAGAAGGAGATAATATCCCGTTTCGTCGGTAATGAAGGCATTTCCTTTCGCTGAGATACGGGGCTGAATGACTAACCGCTTTGCTCATTTTAGAAAAAGCTTATGGCGAAGTTGTTTAGAAGTAGCACGGAAAAAGCCATCATTAGTAGAGCATTTCTTTAAAACATTGAAAAAGAAGAGAATGGAGTTGGAGGGGGCACTCTGTTCCGCTTCGAAGCTCTAACAATAAGGATCAAGATAGGGCGTCAATAAGATTAAGGAGAATGGCTCTGATACACTTTCACAAAGAAGCTTTCCGATGAGGATCGGCTGAATCAGTCAGGAATGGCGTGGAGAAGCTTAAGAAAGTCCTTGTGCTTACCGCTAGAGATATCCTTAGCCTTATCTAGATCCTTAGAGCCATAGAGGGGAACAGAATGCCCCTCCAACTCCATTTTCAGCACTGAAAAGACTGCGCCTCACCTCGTTCTGTTCCTCGGCTTCATCGTCTTGTGGCTGCTCGTCGATTTCGGGACTTTGCATTTCATCTTCAGGCAGAATGAACATTCGAGATTCATCGTCAAGTGAGGGCTTAGGAGCGGCCAAAGTGCCGGCGAATAGGCCTAGAAGAAGCAGCAGGCCGGCCTGCATGTCACGAGTAGTGAGGCTTGAATCGATAGACCTCAGACCGCGCCTCCGGGAGCCGGGAGGACGGCTGAGCTCGACGTCATCGGCAACGACGTGTGGACGTTCTATCCGCACACAGCAACACTTCCTAACAAGGAAGTGAGAAGAGTCAACAACTCTGTTTACAAGCTTCACTGTACATTGTCAGCCTGCATGTAGAGCCTTAGGGAACACACGTCTCATTTCCTGTTATGCTATGTGGATGTGATTGAATATTCATTGCAGACAAATATGAGAAAATGGATTAAAAAATGGAAAGTTGCTGGCTGGAAAATTCCTAGTTTGTTCCAGGAATGTCGTTGAAAAAAGCGGTGTTATGTTACAAACAAATGCTAGTACCACACATTTGGCGCGGTGATAAACCCTGGTTGAATTTCACTCAAGTCAATCCAGCCCCAATCCTTTACGGTCCCGGTTAGTTCTGAAATTAGGGACAGGATTAATGGATCTCATCAGCTCTTCAGAGGCAGGATGCAAGCTGTCCACAGCTGAATTCTATAATTTGCCGTTTGGTTTCCCAGGCAATAAAATTTTCCAATCGTTTTGTCATGCAATTTGCTTTATGGAAGTGTGCATGTGTGTGGCACTTTTTCCTATACTTGGCGAGGTTTTACTTTTTCAGTGAACTTTTTCGGTGTTAAAGAATAATTGAGTAAGATTGTGTACTCTGAAAGTGCATCGTCGTTCGCCCTCATCCCTTTGGAAGGCAAAGGCAGTTGCACTTGCTATTCCGAAAATACGCAAGCTACATATTCATCACAGGCCTCCTAATTCATGGTCAAAACCAATTAAAAGAATCATCGAAGCCCCCAAAAACACTACAAATTTCAGAGTGTTGAGCCAAAAAACATTTATAGACATAGAACTAATAACCATTAAAGCGAATGAGTAATGCTAGCAGAAACAAAATTCCTCAAGCCTAAACACGAGTCGCGGTATGGCCCGTCTCTATGAGGAAGCAGGGTCCAAGGGCAGAGCGACAGCGCGACTTAAAAGTGCAAGGCACGTAAGGCCTAGGCTTGGGTGCTGCCGTGGTTTTTTTTTGCCCATCTTATTAACCAAGGCATACGGTGGTCTCTGGGCCTTCGTTTACGAGTACTATCTCGCGTTGTTCACTTCCTATAGGGCAGCGTGCTCTCATGAAACACGGCAGACTTAAAGGAGCAGAAAAGGCATAAGTCGATACCCGACTAGTAGGAGGGATTCCACGGGGGAAATTGTAAGGTACGTAACTGGATCACTCCAGCTTCGTCGCAAAAACTGCGCGGTTAGGGCGCTAGTCCTTACGGGCCCGCAACCATCGACTCCCGTTCCAACACATCCCACCCGCCGCGAGAGGTGGTGAGATCAGCGTGCATTGATGAGAGATCAGCCGTACTCTCTCAAACGACGTGCTCTCTCGCGTATTTTGTCTTCTTTGACCGCCCTTTCTCGCCATCGTACCACATTCTACCCTACTGAAGGTTAAGGCCTTAATTGCAGCGTTCCCAAGGATCTCTTGCTTTCCTTTCCACTTTCAGGTCGTTCCGCAGCTAAGCTATCACCACGAAGCGCTGATAGCACCTGTTTAATCCCGGAGTTGCCTTTAAGTGCTTCCTATGATACTTTTTGCTTCCTCTCCCCACTAATGTTCCTCGTTCTACTTCCTGCTCAATTTTGAAGCAGAAACGCAGCAATTCAATCCCTACTCGTGCCTTTAAATTGCTGAGTGGAAGAAGATCATGTGAATCTAGGCCCTATGTCAACACTTTGCGCCACCACACTGCTTGATCTGAATTGAATTACAAGAAGCAACTCTACTACAACAGACCGTTGATATTTACGATAGTGTGCCAAAAAATTCCCTCGAGACCATCCATGGAGTTCGATTTTCTGGAACAGAAGCAATCAGGTGTCTTAAATGCAATGGCTGTACCGATGATCATTACAAACCAAATCGGCTTCCTTATCAGACAATGAATTGGAATCAATCCTCTCTGAAAAAATCTGTTTCTACGTATCCAACCATATATGAGAATGAATTATACCACGTTTGTCAAATTTCAGTGGAGTTAATTGTTTTGTTTTTAACTCACCCTACAAACAGCAGAGAGTCGAACGGGAACTGATGAGAATGAATTTTGTCAACGGTTTCAATTATTGCAGGCCTGCAATCACGAGCATACCCTTCAATTAGCCAGTTGAAGTAACCCTTCTGTGAATGGATTTTTGGGATCCGCAAGAGGATAGGATGTACGGAGTTAGGGTCGGATGTGTGCGAATGAGGGGTAATAGGGTCTGTCTGGTGTGACTCCAATGTTCATTTGGCTATCACTCCCAACATGAGGCAGGTCGCAATCCCCCCATAGGACGCAAAAATACCAAGTCTGTGAGTAAGTGTGCCTTATAAGTTCAGTGAACAGTGTGTACAGCTGAGAGGTAGCAACAGAAAATTCTTCCGGGTTACTTTACTACTTAGTAATCGCAAAAACTGTGCCTGTACTAATATCGATAGTTTTCATCATCTGTTTATACACCCTTGGAGGCACTTAGCGTCGTCAAGTCAACGTGGATTGCTCGAAGTACCGATCAGATTTCGAGTCACTTAAAGGAGGAATTCACGATTAGAATGAAGGTCGAAGAAAGGGAAACTGACCTAGTTGAGGGACCCACGGACCTCCTGAGGGTGCGAACTGACGCGCAATTCGCATGGAAAAATTTGACCTCGGCGACCTATCATGCCTCAAAGCTGGCGGGTCCGGCGATCTGACATAAAGAAGAATATTATCTGATCACTCGCCGTAGTTCATACGTGGCGAATGATTAGATAGCTGAGAGAGCGTAGTGTTGAAGAGGGCACAGCGATGAGAGTCGCATCAATGCTCGAATCAACGGGCAAGGAAGGGGTACCATTTCTCGGGTTCTGGGCCGTTTCTCATGTTCTTCTTTCGTGTACCACTCACCATCCCTAGGTTAATTTGAAATGGGTTGCTTTTCATCGAATTCTCCTTTATTAGGGAAAGCTCCTCTTTGCAATATGTTGTTCAGAGTTACTACTCATCGTACTGAATCGAAAAAAAGACGTTTGGCAGCTGACTCGACCTAACGACCGGCGATCCGTGGTGAGAATGCGCTACCTATCTACAGCTGAATCATGTATTGTATACAAAACTATTGGGGTATTCGCGATCAGTAATTGTTTTCAGTAAAAACCTTCTTTCGCGGAATTAGGATGCTAAGGCGCCACTACATCAACGCAACGACCGGCCACTTATAATCTAGTGATTATACGATTTCCATTTCTATTGATGATTTCTCACAGTGGTGTTCAAGATGGGAGAGAACAAACTGGCACGCGTTCATACGATTGCTCTTGTCCGATACACTGAGCTTATCGGGATCCGAAAGCCAGCATCATTCACTTTACGTTCAGGATTGTGAGGCAGGCTTCAGAAGGGTAGATTCAATGCAAAGATCTTGGAGAATTACAAGATACAAAGTAATATTCAGCGCTCGAGAAAGCTACATCTCGCCCAAAAAGTTCCGACACAAAGAACTATAAAATAGAGGGTAAAGTAATGAAAATCGTTGCGCGCTTGCTGAACTCTCATTTCAAGCCCTTACTATCTTAGTGGTTGTTTTTTGCTATTGCAGTTGTGTATGGATGGATACCTTTGCGCTGAAGCAGATTTAGCATGGTGTGAAGTCGTCTGCTCAGTCTCAAGTCATAACCGAATTGCACCGGCAAGGTGTCTCGGATCGCTTTTGCAGAAGCGTCTCAAGGTTGGGTTGTGCAGTATAATCGAAGGATTAGAGGAGGGTCAAGCGAACCGTCGAGGAAAATTGGAAATACGACCCCCTGCGTCCCCTAGAGGCCGAAGTCCATGAAACGACCTTCTTCAAACTATAACTTCCCCAAAACTGTTCATAAAAAAGCCCTGCTACCCCACCGTCCACAAAAAATTCGTTCAAGAAGTACAAAAGTGAAAAAGTCAAAGAATGATCATTATTGATGAGTCCTACCAAACGAGCAAACGAGAAACGGAGCAAAAAACGTCAAACTAGTCACTAAAAATGGCATACTATGACAACACCTCTTCTTTGTTTATTTCCTCCACAAGACTTACCAAATTCTAGTACTACACAGATTGGTTCTCAATTTACACGTCCCCTTCAGTTGAAAGAAGCTTTTGTAACCGCCTTAGCCAGCTGTGGACGTAAGCAAACCAGCCCTTTTGGCACATCGGCTGGGACCGTATGCTGAATGTTGGGGAGGGGATGGTGTCCCCGACGGTGGACGGACAACTTCAACGCGGTCCTTAGAACCGCCACAATTTGGCGCTTACCTTAGAACTAAGCCTTAAAGAGAGGACGGGTCCGTCCCCTCTCCTAGGCTTAGTCCAAGGGTGAGCAGACCGGTCCTTCTGGCGAAGCTACTGGACCAGCTGCACCACTTGCGTCAGTACTCTCCTATCGTACCAACCGAGTTGAAGTAAACCGTCGACCGTTGGGGACCCCATCCCCTCCCCAACATTCAGCATACGGTCCCAGCCGATGTGCCAAAAGGGGGGTGCGACGTCGCAGCTGTGACTTTGGCGTTGACCGTGGAGCAGCTTATGTACTATTGAAATTTGAACAAATATTCAAATGATTATAACTTTCTTCAAATATGACGAATTTTCAATCTGAAAGCAGATTTGGAGTTTTGTGAAGAGCTCTTTCTAATCAGGTATTGATCCCGAAAATTCAATTGACGAGCACGGGTTTTACGCAGATTACCATTGGTTTACACCACATACTTGCTCCTTTCGTCAAAAATATGAAATGGTTCATAGCAGACCAAGACTAGAATGTTTCTTTTCATACGGATCTAAAGCAGCTTTACACGTACAGATTGAAGAAATGGTCACGTCGGGATTTTTGCTCAAAATTAACGAGGGTACGTTGTTGATGAGTGAAGTTTTACGGCTTGTCCACCATACTCGTTCAAACTCATGCAATCTGGAAAGTTAATACGTCATCATAAACTAGAAGATTTGCTCTTATCTAAAGGCAACTAAAACTGCTAAATACGTTCACTATTAAAAAATGGCCACGTTGAGGATTTTTGCCCGAGTACCGCCGAAAGGTACTTTTTCGCTACATTG